GTGACATCTTGGGAGGGAATCTGCGCGACGTCTCCGTTGTAGTTAAGTAAGTGTTAAAGAACTCTTCTAATTACTAAAGTTCAACAGCCGTTAAGTACCTCAAATCATAGTTAATAGAGGGGTATGGTAAAGAAGCCCACAAAATTCAAAGAAGAAAACAATAATGACAAGATGATAATAACAGATTTATGTCGGAGGGATCACCACCGTGCACAATCTGTTCTTTTGTGCTCATACACTATGCACGAATTACGTAACCAAAATGTTTATTTTGCCTTCACTACACAACCAAGCACACTCAAAGGTTGAGGCATGGGCGCGTTGGTCAGCCAGGCCCAAGAATATGTTTTGATTGTGATAATAAGCTTACAACAAAGTAGATAAGAGATAAATCAAATAACGTCCTACATGCCCCAAAGCCGGACACATAAACCCCAAAAACCTCTTGCTTGGGAAAAACAGGGACTGTGTTCTCCTGACCAAATGCAGTGGCACCACCTTTGGGGTTTTAAGGCTGATATATAAACAACAGAATGAAAGATAAATCAGACAACGCTATTTACACAATAAAAATAAACTTTATACGAAAGTGCTAGTGGCAAGACTGACCGCAGAATGTCACAAGTTTTTCAACCGTCTCTTTTTTACAAACGTACTACCCATGAGCCCTCGCGTACTACGCTAGCACCCAGTTCTCTGTTCCGTGTCGGCAAAATATTCATTTATTTCAATACCAATTATCACAAATTACATCTTTTGGTTAGTTCCTCAACAACTACGTATTGTGTTTTGTGCAAGGTCAAGGACACAAACGAACAAAAACATACAACAAAGAAATTTGTCGCGCTTCCAAACCATTTCCCTGCATAACTATAGGTAAACTTTGTATACGAGCTAAGTGCAGGTGATATAGGCTGCGCAATATAGATGTAAATTATTATCATTATTATTAAGTGGCGCATCAGGCCGGAGGTCATCCCGGTTTCTGTAGCATGAAGCGACTAGGGGTATTTCTACTCCCCCCTGGATGGGATGCTAGTCCATCGCAGGGTTACCCCCAGCATTACGTTTGCCGGTACCCATTTCTACATCTGGGTGGTGAGAGAAACTGTGAGAGTAAAGTGTCTTGCCCAAGAACACAACAAAATGTCTCCTGCCAGGGGCCTGTTTCTCGACGGTCCCAAAAAGTTTTCACACCCGAAAAGCCGGAGCAAAATCTCAAACCATATGATTACAGAGCTGTTTTATTCACATATACTAAACATGAACAGAGGCTCCATTCATACAAGACGTTTCAGCCGTATATATATACAAAGAATGGATTCAGATTAACTAAAAATGGATTTGCGGGCCCGAAAAGTTTCCGGGGCTTTCGAGAAACGGGCCCCAGGGCTCGAACCTGGACCGCTCGATCCGGAGACGAGCGCACTAACCATGAGGCCACCGCGCCTCCTCCTCTATTAACTTTGCTAAAATAAAATAAACACACATCGTCTATGATTATTGGAAAAAAAAGGCGATCAAAAGGATATGCCAGCAAATACCGCGTCAGTCGCTTTCTTTTCTCCTCTTCAACATTATAAAACAAGGCGTTTACACCAAACATGAAATCTGGGAGTGTGTGGGACCCGCTCTTATTGTGTTCATCGTTGGACGAAGCGTCTTTTTTCGTTGTTTTGCTCTTGTCTCTCAACTTTGCACTCCTTTTTGATTGTGAATCATCGTTTACAGGAAGCGGCAGATGTAGTTTGGTTGTGTTTGATTGGCGTCTAGCAAAGTAATATCTGAGACTACGTTAAGAATTATCGGCGATCATTCAGAAACTCATTACTGTAATAACCTTCAGGGATTGCCAACCGAGATTCCATTGGGAGAGTGGACATGCTAGGCGGATGAAGTTTTTCCCACAAAAAATTGAATACCTCGACACTTCAATAAAGTTTTCAATCATTCACTTCCGCAACAGTGCTGCTGAAGAGATCGATACTTGTTTTCAACCTTCACCACACCCAAATTCGCAATTAGCCAATCAGAAGCCTTGTCTACTATCCTGATATCCTGCGATATTAGGTCACCTGATAATGCTGCGATATCATGCTCACCTTGGCCGAATTTGGGTGCAGTAAATACCTAATCGTACCTTTTTGAGCATGTGTATTTTGGCTCGACTATCAGCTCACCAAAATACGAACCATGGCATGATACCCTCTTTTTTATAAGAATGTTGTTTTTATCCGGCCAATTCTTATTTTTCTTCGGATTTTAGGCTGAAAATATTCTTGACTGAAAATATTCTTGGGAATATTCTTAAATTATAGCGTATAACATTTCTGTTTTCGAATGTATTTGGTGTCTGGATGGTGTAAAGTAATTTTGGAGCCAGCCTGCAGGCAATGAAGCCTAATATCACACACATAACTTCTTGCAGAATTGTTATTAGCATGGAACTTTCGGCTAGTGCTGTTTTTGTTGCTGTTTAGAGAAAGGAGTGATTTTTTGCGGTTTAGTTAAGACATATAATTTTATTGTATTTACATATTTTCATGGACACACAAAATTAGATTCTTTTCCAAATCTCAGCCCCGGGTTTATTCTTAAAATATTCTCAAAATTTCGCAAATTTCAGCTGCTATATTCTTGTAAAACATATTCTTATAAAAGAGAAAGAGTATTTGCCGCCGAAGCGTACCGAAAAAGGTGCGGTGAGATATAATAACTATACTGGAGCTTGTCTGAGATAAGGATACATGGATGTTTCAATTCCTCTGGAAACAAGAAGTTTCCGCACCAGTCTCTCCGTGCCGTACCAGTTAAAGCTCGGTGTGTTGTGGCCAATTCGTGGAAGGTGAACAGTGGCTAAGGAAGCAAGAAAAAACGCGTTTGATTCTTGATTCTGGGAAAATGAAAGATAAACTTAGTTTTCCAAATCACCACACGCATCTCTCAAGGGTTGCGTGACAGACAGATGAAAAATCGCAAACTAGTAACCTAAAGCAACTGATCAAAGGTTCGAGAAAACGCTACGTCCGAGAGGGGGCGGGGAAGGCGGTCGAATCCACCGTAGGAAAAAAGATGGCGGCTGTACATTTTACCACAATACCTTGCGAACGTAACACAGTCCATAAGGCACAAAGAAAGCCAAATTTTTACAATATTTGTCCTTGTGCTAAGGACATTTTGTATGCTAGGTTTGAAGATTTGATAGCTCTTCTGTACGTTTTTATGAACGTTGTTAAGGTTTTCGTGCGCTAAGAACTATGGGTAAATGTACCAGTCGCCATCTTTTTTCCTACGGAGGATTACGTTACTCCTTATATTTCTTGTTTCGTAATACTCATATATCATAGTAAAAATAAGGACTTCCGAAAGAAGAGATAACATTTCGTTTTCATGGTTGTTATCAAACCCGGAACGTAGCGAACCTCTGAAGGTAACGATTCTCCGGCAGTGGCGCCCTCAAACGTAATTTTACTTTTTATGAGGACAATACAAATGATAAACACAACTAGTTGAACAGAAATGATACGATATTTGCTACAAATTACATTGTCCACTTTTTCTCTCTCCATACCCTGCTCGTTATGTATTGTCATTAAATTTCTTATTCGTGTTGTTTAAAGGTTTCACCATAGTTACCACAAAAATCACTTTTCAAAATTCCGACATTTCCCTAGAAAAAATAAAATTTGCCTGACTTGTCCCCGACTGTGAAGAAAGTTTTTTCCCTGACCATTTGCGCTTCAATTCCTGAGATGTAGCAGCCCTGATCACATAATGATGATAATGTTATATTTTCGTGTGAAATGACTTTCGTTCCGTGCTAACATTCCTCTACTTTCCAAAGACTTTCATCCGGAAGAACTTTTTGACAAGAAAAGCAAAACCACCCGAAAGATTCAAAGATACCTGAAGTTCTTGTTTCATCAAGATGGTTGGCCCATGTGCATGCTTGTGTGGAAAACATGACTCTTCGAAATTGAAAGTAACGAAGTTCGTTGCTTTCGGAACTTTATGGTATTTCTCTCACTTCTACAGCAACTTTGTTCACAAAATAATGTCATACGATTGTGAGCAAAATAGGTAAAAAACCCATCTTTTCAATAGCTCGACTTCTATTCCAAAAGTGTGGATGCTGGTCAGTGAAATTGAAGGTAACCACACAGAACGTTACACTCTTTGGGACCACCCATACCTACATAGCCCATATAAGGGAGTACCCCCCCCCCCCTCGGGAGTGGAAGCGCACTAAAAGGAACAACATGGTTCAAAATGTCTGTGCGCCTGACGCCTTTCACGAACAGGTCGAACAAAGGTCGACGTGCAGTTTACTAGAGAGGTATCGACAGATTACTTGAATTACCATCCAGGAAACCTACTTCGCACAAGGCCATTCCCAGATAAGACTTTGACCGGACGAGCGCGCTTATTCTCCTGTTACCTTTCATTTTCTTGGCCGCTACAGCAATCCTTTGCAATCCCAGACTTAGTGACGTCAGTATTATCCCAGACAGTCTGTTCTGCCTGTCACGTGACTGGGCCACAATCAATGCGACCTGAAGAACCAAAGTAAGAAAGTGACTCTCACTCACGAACTATGGGGGGATGGGAGGGGACGAAAACTGCATTAGCCGACTAATTGCAAGCATGAATTGTTTCTTAGTTTATAGTTGTTTAAATCGATAATAACGGATTTCACCGAGTTGTCAAGACACTGAAAGGCTGAGTTCTCGCCTGAATTAAGAGTGCCATCAGAGAAATCCATTGAACTTGCTTAATAGACCTTCATTCCTGTACAAAGGAATCGCGGGAAAAAAATAGAAAACAGAACTTGTTAAGCTCACATAATCATGGCCATCCTTACGACTTTTTTGGTCATCCACTCGCACAAGATGCGCGTCTCCTAACTTCAGGTCTGAGAAACAAAACCAAAACAAATTATTTTGTTTAGAACCTTTTGCTGTTTATTGCTTGTATTTCACATTCAAGCTTTCACTTGGATCTTCCTCAAAGGAAGGAAGACGATGTTGTCTACTGAAAATTGCTGGACAAATGAAGTTTTCGCCATCGCATAAGGAGAAGTACAGCAACATACTAGGACGTAGTAAGGTGCTGTTAATAAGCCATTTTGCTAATGCAAATATTTCCTAGTTTCATTCCCCTGTGGGGGCAAGAAGTGATCACTCGGCCAAAAATGACCTCATTAAATAGATCAAATTTTACCCCCACAAGGGACTAGGGCTAGCATTAGCAAAATGGTGTATTAGTGCCTTGAATGAAAACATTTTCTTAACAAAGCCCGTTAATTATCAACATCTCGCAGCGTCTTTAGGTATGTGTGTGTGTGTGTGTGTATGTGTGGTTTGTGTGCTGTTGCATATGTCTTTTTCTTACTTTCTCTTCTAATCTGACCCAAATATATAATTACTTTAATCACTAAGGATGGCTGCCCAGTCTTATTAGCCCATTAAGGTTATTTCGGGCAGCCATGTACTCTTTTATTTTGAACTTATTTTTGTTCATTTAATTTTAGCTGAGTAAGTACACTGAAAAAGTTGTTGCTGTTGTTGTATGTAGTTTATGCTTATCCTTATGTGCTGGTGAAAATTCAGCGTCAAACGAATCAAGAGTTTCAACCGATATCGGTTTAAAAAGTCCCTCAAAGCAGTTCTTCTCAAGGAGAATATGAAAACTCAGCCCAAATAAACCACAGTCTATGATACGCTACGTATAGCAAAACATTACCTCTCATTCGACTGGCCAGCTCATATTGAGTTTCCGGTAGCAATGAACGCCGGGATATAGCAGAGAACAATCCTCCCTGTCCCCACCTCCCTGTGTCATCTGTTGGTAAAGTAAAGCGATTACAATCGAACCTCTATTAAGCGGCCAACCTTTATTTGGCGGTCAGCGGCCAAACTCCCGGAAAAATTGTCTGTTATACAATGTAACAAAAACCTCTATTCAACGACCACCTCTATAAAGCGGCCGCAGCCAGCTTCTTGCCGTCCCAAGGGTGATTTTGTTTTGTTTTATACCTCTATTAAACGGCGAGAAAGATTTGAAGTCGGACGTTCTTAGCCAGATGAGGGTAAAAGAATGACAATGTGGGAACGTAATTTTTCTTTGGCTTTTGTTAACGTTATGGACCGTATTATAACCATCATTGTTCTACTTTTTCTCCACTTGCATTTGTTTGAAAACTGGACCACGCCCAACGTTGTTTCGTGTGAACTTCTATTAAAGTGCCACCTCTATTAAGCGGCCAGTTGTCTCGTCCCCGAGAGTGGCCCCTTAATAGAGGTTCGACTGTAGTTAGCTGGGCACGTTTATTATTGTTTCAATATGCGGCCGGGGCGCTTCATTCTCGCAGTGCTTCTCTCTACAAAACGAGAACGATAAGTCAGATTGATGCCACGTGACCATCAGGCCAGTACTTATCTCCGATGTCAGAGGCATGACGCGACTAGGGGTATAGCCTACGAGCAGGCTCACGTTGGAGCACAAGCGCGCGCGGCGTAGCAGCGAGCGCGAAATCGAGCGGCGAAGCCGCGAGCTACTCCCCCATGGATGGGATGCTAGCCCATCTCAGGGTTACCCCCAGCATTAAATTCGCCGGTACCCATTTATACACCTGGGTGGAGAGAGGTACTGTGAGAGTAAAGTATCTCGCCTAAGAGCATTAGCCGGGCTTCAAACCCAGACCGCTTGTCTGAGTTCAACGTAGCTATGTGAGGCTCTTGTACGAAGCGTTCAAATTAATGTGTGTTAACTCGATTGACTGAGTCCTACATTTTGAACAAGTCAAACTATGCATATGATATCACTGCATATGAGAACTATTTCAATCGCCCGTTAATCAAACTTTCTTTCTTTATAGTGATTAACAGCACCCTGTTGTGCCCCCTAGCTTTGCATTACGTTCCAGTTCTTCTCTTCACTTACCTACACAATGTACTATGATCGCATCAGAGCCGCGAGTGTTGATGGGATGCGTGACGTCACCACGCACGTATTGGATCTCTCTTTGTTTATTTTCGTCTTCTTCGTCAAATGACTCGTCGCTTTCATCATCATCTTCCTCGTCGCTGTCCAAAGCAATGTTATGGCTTGTGTAACTGGCATCTCTCCAAAGCTTCTCCCTTCAATAAGAGAACCATTCTAATTACAGAAGGCCAATTTTTCATTTTCTCTTTTTTTTTTTCTTATTAACTTCTTTTTTTCCGCATTATATGACACAGAGGCACAGCCGCCTAACGGCCCGTGTGCCACTTTCTTTCCATATTTTGACGTCATCTGTAATCTGTTACTGAACAGACGTACGACGACATGTAATCTAGACAACGACGAGAGGACCAATCACATTCGCGGATTTCCAATAGAACACAACTGAGTGGCTGCTTAAATAGACGCACAGCAACATAGAATCTATTTGTTAACTCTATTCTTTATCAATTCTTGCTTTATAATCCCTGTCACGGTACAAAATACTCACAGTTTTCTTTGTCGTTCTCTTTCTTTTCTCGACTCTTCCTCCTCCTTTAGTCTAGCCCTCTTTGCGGCGTTTTCTTCTCTCTGAAAAACAACTTTCCTGTGTTGGATTTGATGGAAAAGCAATGTACAACGTGCCCTTTACACTAAACTCGAAAAATTGCGTTCCGCGCTCGTCCTAGTCCCCTGGCAACAGCAGATCAGTCAATACTCAGTCAGTCGCGTGAACAAGTTCTTTTTTAGCAAATCTTCGTTGGAACACTGGTAAAGAGCCCGTAAACTTCCAATTTTCATTATCCAATCAAAAAATAAAACAAACGCTCCACCGCTTCTCGGAAAGTTGTTACGTCATCAAGTCGCCAGCAGTTGCTTAGGAACTTCCAGACGAAACTGCGGGCTCAGTACGGCCTCGGAGAGCAAGAGCCGCGGTAAACCAAAACTATTTTACTAACAAACTGACCAGCTCAGTGTTAGGCTCGACTACCAGCCGCTGTTCGAGAAACGAGCCCGCGCTCCTTCATAGACCGGACTCGAGTAAGGGGCGGAAATCGACTCTAGCTCAGTGTCCGATCGGCCAAGCAGAATATTTCACTTAGAAAGTAATCACTCTAGTCAAGAAAACAGGACCACTACCTTTCTCCTTCGCTCTTCCTGTTCTTCTGGTGTAAGAACTTTACGTTTTCTAACAGGAAGATCGACATATTGAGCTGCAGACCCCTAGCATGAATAGAATATGAGAAATGAACTTGTAATATTGCCTTTCTTCGAAATTAAACGTACAAGAAAATAAATATGCTTGTTCTTTCAAATACAGAACGAAAGTGAAGTGACATAATGTACCGGTAGTTGTAGGCATGTGGTAAAAAAATAGGTCATTTCCGACTNAATTTTGTATGTGGCCAAAATAACTCAAAATACCGTGACTGGGCCCCTTTAAAAACAGTTGGTGCATTATTGGGGAATTCGTACCCAGGCCTCCACTACCAACGAAGCGCACTGAGTGTGGGACTCAAATTACTGATTGTTGATTGGCCTTGTAAATTGTTACTTTAGTGTAGCTTTACTTATTAACAGTTAGTAGAATTCTATTAGAACTGTTTTCGATTAAGTGTCGTAAAAATAAAACCAAAGTAATCACTCTAGCCAATCAGAAAGGACACAGACAATCCAATAAACTAATCAAGACTTGAAGTAATACATGTACTAGTCTCTCCGCTGCTCAGTGGACAGAGCGCCTGCCCAGTGTGGCAGGTCATAGGTTCAAATCCCGTCGGAGGATTCGTGACATGATAAACGCTACATATTTCTTAACAAGTAACCGATCATAGATCCGAGAAGAATGCACTTAACTGACGAGATGGAAAGTAAACGAAAGGTAGGTTAAGTCAAAAACTGTTCTGGTTTTTCATGACCGTTGACTAAATTAAAGAGCATCTCCGCTCTGACCTGTAACCGGCCACAGACCCACAGAAGAATAGGGTTAATTGTCTTTACCCTTTTCGTCATCATCTGTCTCCATACATGAAGCTATGATGTCACCATCGTTATCCGTCTCGTTTCCCGTTTCCTCCACAATCCACTCATTGTTACAGCTTCCGCCAAGAATCCTGGACAAAAAAAGTATTAAAAATACATTTATGTATTTGACTAGCATCGCAGTTTCACTTCCATGCCAGGGGGTTGGCCGAGGTGGTCTCAAATGCGAAATTAGTGGGGCCGCGACATCGTGCTTTGTTAATGATTTACACAAAACTGGCATGAAATCTTTGACATTTCTTCACAGATGAAAGCATTCAATGGCAATGTTCCTAGATCACAGTNGGTTGGCCGAGGTGGTCTCAAATGCGAAATTAGTGGGGCAGCGACATCGTGCTTTGTTAATGATTTACACAGAACTGGCATGAAATCTTTGACATTTCTTCACAGATGAAAGCATTCAATAGCAATGTTCTTAGATCACAGTTCAAATTTATAATAGTTTCTTCTAGGAAAGCTTCAGGCTTGCCCAGATTTCAAAATGAACATCCGTCTCTTTGATATGGCAGTTGACTGTTCACAGCCCTCTATTTTCTGGTATTTTTATTCGATCGTTTGAACGCGCGGATGAATCGCGACAAAACTGGACGCCAGCGAAAAACGGGAGATTTTGGGCGCTTTGAGCTTCGCTCACTTTCTCTTTCGTGTGCGTTGAAAAATACAGAGGCTGTGAACAGTCTAACATGGCCGTGGTTCTTCTCTGCCGAGAGGAGGAGGGGGTCACTATAGTCAAGCAAAACTCTAACTCCGCAATTCGATTTTATTCCTTGCATCAAAGTTAGACTCTTGAGATGAAGAGTATTTATATATACTTAGCTTGTCTTTTAAAAATGNACATGACCAGCATAAACAACTGACAAAAGGTTTAAGCACACCCGATGAAGAGGAGAAAATCTTATCCATTAATATATCCCGCCTCACCGTTCATCCGAGTCAAATAACTTGTCCAATCCAAACTTGAGTAAGTCTGTAAGCTGGCAAGAATAACATAACAAAAACAGATTTAGTAGTTAAAGACATTAAAATACATTTAGAAGATAACTGTTACAAATGGGACAATCAATGGAAAAGCAAGGAACTCAGATTGCTTTCAATGGTGATCAAGGGATCGCTTTTTGACTGGTTAAATAAATGCCATTAGTTCACCGTTTACCTGAGCTGGGGTCTCGGCAACCTGATTAGCAGCTGACAAACTACCCGAAAACTGCAATAAAGTAAAATAAAGTAGTTAACATGGTGTCTTAAAATAAGCGAAAGAATGGATAAACCCAAACACGAGCGCACTATCGCGGAGCCTACGAACGAACAAACGCAAGAACGAATGTACGGACGAATGTGATTACGAACGTACGAACACACGCAAGAACGAACGTACGAACGAACGTACTTACGAACGAACGTAATTAAGAACGCACCTACGAACGGAAGAACCAGCACACGCTCGAACAAACACGCGAGCAAACACACAAACGCACAAACAAGAAAACAAAGCACGAACAAATGAACAAACCCTTTCGGTGATAACTAAATGGAATACTTGCTTACTTGCTGTACCTAAATATAAAATTCTTGAAATTCTATGCCGTGAAAACAAAGTTAACACTTTCAAAAGTTGCAAAAATCATGTCTAAAACCAGGCTATTGATAATATCTGTGGATCAACCACTGTTAGCAAAAGAATCTTACACCTTTCCTCCTTCGATCACTGTATTTGTAAGCTTTAACTTGTCATCTGCTCTTTTCAACACAATTTCTTCCACTGTACTTCTAGCGACAAGACGAATCACTTTCACCGGCCTAGACGAAAAAATGTCATGAATTACAGTTAGTTTTCTGCCCAAGAATTTTGCCCGAAACGGTATTTTTCGATTTGAACGGCAGGAGGGGTGTACAAAACAAATACGGAATTCAAAACAATCATTTCAAAAACAAAGTTTAGTTCAAATCAAATTTTTTTTCCGAGAACTTCCTTTTTCAGAGTAGATTTCCCTCTGCCCAATCTTGAAAGACGAACTGTAAACAAGACCCTGCCAGGAGGAGGGGACAAACCTTGTCTGTCCTATACGATGAGCCCTCGCGGCCGCCTGCAAGTCATTCTGTGGGTTGAAATCGTTGTCTACAAATATCACTGTGTCCGCTGACATGAGGTTTAATCCCTGACCACCTACAGAGCGCAAACCGATCAGTAAGGCATAGCCTTGTTTCCAAACGAAAAGATGCATGGAAAAAACACATGTTTAATATATGGCAAGATAAACTTTGCGCCTTTGCCAGTTCACTCAATTTTTACTAGTTTCGCTGGATCACCAGATACTCGACCGAAACCTTTCAAAATTAAGAAAGTAAGCCTACGCCACGAACATTCATTTCCCGGAAAATGTTTTTCGGCAGGTTTTCGGTCTTTTCTTGAGGTTTAGAAGGGAGTATTCTTCTAGCTCAAAACCACATTTCCAAACTAGCTATAGGTGGGTGGGGGGACAGGTTACGATGTGCGCAATTTTTTAGATGATTACTTGCATGGCAGACTTTGTTTAAGGAGCTTAGTCACGGCACTTTGAGTTATCTTGTCCACGTACTTAATTACCTTCGAAACCTGAAGGAAACCTGAAAATAGTAGTTTACCAAGATAGAAAGACATCAAAGAGATAATAATAAACCAGAAAGGAACAAGGATGGTCAAGGATGGAAAAGATTAACACGGATTGTAAAGGACAAACTCGAAAAATTTAGGCTAAACATTTCAAGATGCGTAAGTAAAGTTGTGGGTGCTATCCAGTTTTCTACAAGGAGCGATGTTGCAGTTGCAGACGAGATTGACAGCAAATGCACAAGTGTGACATTAAAACCGTTCCTACCTGCCCGTGTACTCAAGAGGAATATAAAGGTTTCTTCAGTTTCGTTGAAATTTTGAATTGCCAGATAGCGCTCCTCCCCCCTGACAGAACCATCCAACCGTTCGTAGGAATACCCTATGACGGAAACATGAAGTAGATTTAAAAATAGAAGAACGATAGCCAGGACAAAACATATTTAATATCTAGAAAAACGTTCACTGGCGATATAAAGCTAAAACTTTCGAGTCTTTTTTTCTTCATTTTTATCCATCGAAGGCTGTAGTCTGAGAGTCGAAAGCTCGAGAGTTTTAACTTTGTATAGCCAGTGAACGTTTTAAATTTTAAACCTGAAGTAGATAGCGTCACATTTCCTAGAAGCACGTCAATCTCTTTAATTTAAAGTGCTACTTTCGGCTAAAAAATGAAAGAACTGTGTCTGTTATTAAAGACGCCTATTGTCCAATATCACCGCTTGACAGCCAAGATAGAGGATTTAAAGACTTGAAAAAGTTACTTATTATTACAGTAGAAGACGCCTTTTACCCGAACTCAGTTGATACTCAGTTCTTTTAACAACTTTACGACATGATTCACTGACATTATTCTTAAGAAGAAGTATGTTCAGCTCAATCTGTTCAAAAGATGGATAACGCTATCCACAGCGAATAAACAACTTTATTATATGGCTAACTCCGCAAGATGAACCAAATACTGTGCAGTGATTGGCTACCCGAGCGGGGAAATAGGGCTCTCTTGCCCACTCGGGATTGCCCGTTATATTCCGCAAGAAAACGTGCCCTCAATGTCATAAAATAAATCCTTTATTAACCAAGTTTGCCCGGTCAAGATGACTGGATAACGTCCTATCTCTTGTTTTGCCCGTTAGTGGATCTCGACTACGTCTCGGTCCATAAGCACGCAAAAAAACACTTGACCAATATCCAGTTATAATAACCTCGTACTTAGTCAATAATCCGTCGTGCGTGACGCGAAAGAAAACCGCGGGGAAAAAAATGGTCGCGCGAAATCCCGGGGGTGAGAAGCGCGCGAACGGCCCCAGGATTTCGCGCGGCCATTTCTTTTCTCGCGGTTTTCTTTCGCGTCACGCACGACAGACTAAGCAAAAGAGGGACTACTCGTAATCTATGCGCTGTATAGCGTTATGATGCAAACTTTGAACAACTTGCACAGTATAATAATAACCTCTGTAGCCGAGATAGTCTTGAATAATGTCCAGCATTCTCGCCATTTGCGAGAACATCAAAACCTTGTGACCCCTGGTGGTGACATGAATGAAAAACATATTATTTCCAAAATAAAATAAAAGACTGTGCTAATCCAGGAAATTGTACAAAAAAAACTAAGAGATAACCCGGCAACTCGTTAAAGAACCCCAACTGGTGGTCGGCTGACCAATTCTAAAAAGTGTAGTGAAGGGGTTAAATTTGGAATTATCAAGAACAAAAACGGTTAGTGGCGGGGTGGTTAAGGATTTTAGTCCGGGACTTCCAGATCTCAACCAAGTACCTTAAAACATCCTTAGCAAAGAAAGACAGCAAACGTCTGTAAACATCTTCCAACAGTAATCAGATCAGTACCTACAGACTGCACGTTGACAAAAGGGTAGGGTTCGTCACCGACGCCCGTGCGACTCGAGGCTTAAGGTTCCGCCACTCGGCTCTTTTCGTTTGTTTGTGTCCCGAGGGGGCTGCTCCCCTATATGGGCTATATATGTATGTGCCGACCTGAAGGGTAAATGGGGTATTGATTTTGGCCATTTTGGTCCCAAATAGCATATGGTTTCTGCACTTTAGTCTTGAATTGGGTATGTTTCTTAGAAGAAGCTACTTTTTCGTCATTATCGCTACCATCATCAGTAAAAGTCCTTCACAATGCCTTCAACGTCGGTCTGAACTAGGTAACTAATTATAGTGCAGGCCTGACACAGGGTATTGATTTAACGATCAGGTCTTAAATAGGTTCTTAAATTTTTGGTCAGGTCTCATAAATACGGTAAGGAAAATCGCAGATTTTGGTCTTTAATAGGTTAAGGGTTTTGGGAAGCAGGCCACACACCCCCACCGAATTTTTTCTGGGTGTACCCACCGGGGTTTGCATGTCCGTTTGCGTTTCTTCCCTCGTAGATATTCAAGTAGCAGGGAGACTGCTCGCACTCTAGGTTCGTCAATACTCAGTCTGTCTAGGTACCGATATGATTTTTGTTGGAAGATGTTTGCAGTTTTGATGTGTTGCTTGGTTTAAGGACGCTCGCGCGAAAATGGTCTACTCGATAGATTTTCTTCAAACTTCTACTGCGAACAGATAATGAATTACTTGTTTCAGAAACATAAAAATGGGGGCTCAAAAATGGGGGGGAAATAGGGTAAAAAAGGTAAAAATTGGTAAAAATGGCGTACAAAATTAGTAAAATTGTTCACTTAAGCTTATGCTAAATAGAAATCTTGAAGTTATGGATCTAAATTCGATCGGAAGTTCATTAATACTCGTGGCTCCTTGACATATAGTGAAAGCTCTTCTTCCCAAATTCAAGGCGAACTGTAGGTAGTTTCACTGATAAACCATTGTTCCTGGTGTTCTTAGAGTGAAGTGAACTTTCAAAGGAAGTCTTAAAGGGAGTGCAAACATTATTTTGAAGAGAAAATGTAGAGAAAATGATCTACTGAACGTCCACGATCGTTAAATCCAGGCAAAGCTATATAGCAATGGCCATCTGCCCTATCATTGTTCATTTTATTACTTTTAGCATGCGCTCGATGCATGACGTGGCGTGTGAATTTAAACTTGTAGCTGCTTTTTTTTTTTTTTTTTTCAACTGACCTTGCTTTGAGGAAAACCAGCAACTGATCGATAACTTGCAGTTTACCTGAAAATAAAATTTTAATTTGTCGATTTAAGTAACTAATGCATAATAACAACAAAATGGCTAGAGAACTTACTCCAAAATAGTAAATAATGTATGTCACTTGTGCAGTTAAGATTCTCGTTAAAATAAGCTTACCGCTTGCATCAATAAGATGTTCACCAAGCTCAAATGGCTCAGGTTCCACTCCTAAAAAATATGAAATAAAACAGAATTTTGACAAATAAATTTCCTGGCATAAAGGCCCCTACCAGGAAATAAATTATCTGATATTAACCCATCGACACCTGGAGCTTTTTGGCAAAAACGCATTTTTTTTAGACATTTTTGGCATTTTCAGCCTGGACATTTTTGCTCTGGCATGCACAGAAATCAAAATTTTGAGCAAGTGACCTACGTCTTTAGGCTTTTCGGTTTTTTTTTTGTGGCTACTAAAACCTATTAATGATAATGGGACATAGGCGCATGGGCTAAATCTCTGCAGTACCATATGCTAATGAGGCAAGATTTTGACCCTATATGGTCTAAGCCCTCATAAGTGACTACCTTAGGTTTGGCATTTTGGGTGGTCGCTTACGAGAGGTGTGACTGTACCTTGATCTCCCAAAATTTCATTAGTCACATTTTTTCCAATATAGCTCAACAGATACATGGAAAATGATTTCTATTTGTTTAGTAGGCCACATTGTATAGCAATTAGCCTCCAAGCAAGCCACCTATGAGTCACACGCGCAAGCGGCGAAGAGCAAAGCTTGTGCTCCAACGTGAGTCTGCTCGCAGGCTATATAATAATGTTATGACTGCATCTCTAAAAAAGTACCATCAAACAAATATGGATGATTCACACATTTTCTGAGCTGCATCAAAATGTTCATAAGTCTTGTCTTCATAGAACCACCAGGGGAATTGAAGGCATCTAGAAAAAAATAAACAAAGAAACGAAGCGAGCATATAATTCATGATATAATCATCAACTGAAACTTGTTATTATTGGCATGCATACCTACGAAAAAAATTAAGTAAATGTTTCTTGAAGTAACACTCATACATGTAGAATGACTGAGGAGCAGGGATGACACAGTGGTGAGAATGCCCGGGGTTGACTCTGGCTTGGTGCCATATATGGGTTGAGTTTGTTGTTGGTTCTTGCCTTGCTCTGAGGGTTTTTCTCCGGGTTCTCCGGCTTTCCTCTCCCCACAAAAACCAACAACTCCAAATTCCAATCCAGCCAGGATATATAGAGGACCTGCATGAAAACCAACTAAAGCTGATGTAGCTTCCTCTCTAAATATTGTAATTTATTTTATGTAAGGACTTCAAAATTTCCTACCCAAATCTTTCATGAGGATGGCCTTGTAATATTTTTTCTGTATATCTGACATCCCGGTATAGAGAAGCACCTGTTCCAACAAAATATGTGATCAGCAAGGTCTTTTTATGAACCATCAAAGGACCCCTACTCAGCCTCCGCCATTTTCTATGCCACTGAAATTATCGATATTGCATGGTGAAGTAAAATCTGCTTTACTGTAAGTTGTGTTCCTGAGAGTATGTTTAATATTATTATCTCTAGTAGTTTCACACTGATTTCCTTTGTTTTGACATGCTCCAAATGAAATATTAATAATAGCCAAACTCTTGCATGGGCCTTGCATATAAACCATAGTTAGCTAACTATGATGTAAACAAAAACAGAGGTGTGGCTGATGACTGAACCTAGTGTAAAAAAATCATTCCAACATCAATCTTACCTCAGTTTTTTGGGGTAAATGAGCCATTACCTTAAATTGAGAAAAAGTATTTTTAACAATTATGCATTCAAGTAACAAATAATATTATTATTTTAGTACATTTTGACAGACTCATAGTTCTTTTTGGCATTGTACTGTATTGTAGCATCAGGGGATTCATTGACGTTTTCAGCAGGAGGACAACTGGCGGGCAAAACGTTTTGAATATTTCTTTTACAAGAAAACCTTTCCTCTAGATGGTCAAACCAGGCAGAAAAATCATCCTCACAGCCAGTCAGTTTGCCTGGCACCTGGCCCTCAATGAAACCCCTGTAGCATGTGACTTAACTAACGATTGATAATAGTCCGTACACAAATCCCTTACCAACTTATTTATCTCAGACAACTATAAATTGGTTCATTGTTATGCTAAGTTCCATGTTTCTAGTTATTGTAATTAATTATACCTTTGTGTTAACTAAGCACTGAATAATCTACCTCACCTCTGATTTCACACGACGTAACAGAAATGGAGACAAGAGATTTTGCAACTCTGCATTTTGTTCTGTAAAAAAAAATTATATACATGTACAGATATCTTAGTGCAGTTATAATTATTTTTGTTTTCAATAACATTATTGATCGTAAAAGTGTTTAGCTGTGTGTTCATCACCTGTAGCTGTCTAATCAGAGGTTGCATGTTTAAGCCTGTGCTTAAATTGAAAACTGAAGAATACTTATTTTTAGTTAGTTCCAAAATAGCAACGCATTTTTATGGTTGACAAAAATCCCAAAATTGGTGACTCTCCAAGGGTAACAGAACATTGATAGTGGTAACCTCAATCAAGTTTTTGGAAAACAACTGTGTGAACAAAGGATGCAAAGATAGTATATAGATTTCTCTTTCTCTGACAACACCTACGCAATTTGGTTTCTAGAGCTATACTCTGACTTTTCTATACATAACAGTTGTTTTAATATGTTTAATATGCTTTAAACTTTTCATGGACCAGTGATGTGCATCAGTTAACATATCTGAAACATTTTAACACTATCATTAAATACTAGTAAGATGGAATGACTAATATAATGGTAAATGATTTGGCCTCCCAAAAGTAATGCCACCTTGATTAGAAATATGGACCCAGATGGTACCAATCACAGAAATAGACTGTCTCTATTTTGGAACTTTACAGCATTCATAAATAATTTATCTTTTGCTTCACAATATTATTACTCAAAGTTGCGTTCTGACCTGAGTCGTCAATATTGGTGTAACATTCCACAAATTCTTCTGCAGCATTGAGGGAAAATATGTCTGGACTCACAAATGAGAGTAGAGAATATAGCTATAAAAGTTAAAGAAGGTTGAAGATGACATTTCTGAGTGTTCCAAAAATTTTAATCTAAAAGCATCTTAATATATAACTTTAATAAGCCTAGGTCGTGTGTTGTTAGGTCGTGTGTTGTTAGGCCGTATCACGGTTTTTGATGCCATCTTGAGGGGTAGGCAATGCAGTCAGAAATTACTGTGTTTGTATGGGAAACTAATGGCAAAAAAATATTTTTCCAAAATTGAATTTTACACAATTTGTGAATCACAACGTTAAAATTACTACATTGAAGAAATCTTGTATTCACCAAGTTTGAAAGATGTAACTTGGCTAGAAGACGCTCAGTTAATTTTCCTAATTTTCCATACATTTGTCTGTAAATTTGGCTGGGTAGACACAGTTCGTGGGAAAAAAACAACATCTCCATCTATCTTGAAACATCTCAATCAATACTTGGTTGACATTACACCAATATCCTACACCAACACTTGATCGACATCTCTGTCAACACTTGATTGACATCTCAGATGACAGTCGGTCAAGAGTCAATTAATGGTTGCAGATATGCCATCAAGTGTCAATTGATTTTGTTTTAACTTAATGAGTGTCGATTGACACATATGAGTCAGTCAACACTCGGCCAACTATTGACTGACTGTCGACTGAGTGTTGATCGAGATGTCAGGATCAATCAAGGGTATTGATCAACACTCGACTGCGAATGCCCTTAGCACACAAATTTGATCCTAATAAATAAAATTTAAATTCCTGCTACTTTTAACTAAATTGTTACTGGTTGCAATTATTTGCAGAATCCTGTTGGTAACAACTTTCAGCAATCTACAGTACTTAACAAATAGACTGGATACTGGATTGATGCAAACAAATTAATAACATTCAATTAAAAATACTTGCTTCTTTTAAGTTGTTCTGGATTGGTGTTCCTGTTAGTAATACCACAAAGTCTTTATCAAACTAAAAACAATTAAGAGGCAATGAAAATAAAAATTTAACATAAAATTATATACAATCATTTTTTACTTAATAATAATCAATTCCATTACACATTTAATTAAACAGTTACAAGCCATATCATACTGTGTAAATGTGTAAAACAACAGCAACATGAGTTCAATATTAAGTGTTTGTTAATTAACAAATCTAAACTTTCATTAGCTGGTATTGGAAAAAATTGTACAGCTCTAGTCTATTACGCCTTATATACATGAACATGGCTATAACATAAAAGGAAATATGATTGAAACTACATTTGTACAAACCTGGGACAACTCTTGATAAAGGGCACTCTTAGAATTTTTTAACCTGTGAGCCTCATCTACAATCATTGCTTTCCATTGAAATCTATGAAGAAAACACTGAGCTAGATAACCAGACAGGTGGCATTGCACTGTACAATCTAAATGTTATTAGAGTAAGATCTGATATTTTTAAAATCAGGATTTTATTTTTTTATTTTTGTGATGAATCAAAAAATAGTGCACTGCACTGCACATCCTTGGAGACCCAGGGGCTACTAGTTAGGACGATGCAATATTTTCGGGCAGGCGATATCTCCAGGCAAAAGTTTACTTCAAGAGTGGGAGAGCTCTCCCACTCTCAAAGTAAACATTCACCTGAAAATATCGCTTGCTTGAAAAAATTGCATAGTCCCAACTAGCAGCCCCTGGGTCTATAAGGATGTGCAATGCAGTGCAGTGCAGTACCATGCAGTGCGGTGCATGTCAGTCAGAGTAGTCTAGTGCAGTGCAGTGCAGTGCAGTGCAGTGCAGTGCAGCGCAGTGCAGCGCAGTGCAGTGCAGTCTAGTGCAGTGCAGTGCAGTGCAGTTAGTTAAAAAAGGTAACAAGAAAGTATGTTGCTTTTTTTCTAGAAGATGCTCAATTACGACATAACACAGTGTGTTGTTTCATAAACTCACTTGGAGAGAAAAGATGTTTCCCGTAAACACATCTGCCAGTAATGAAAAAAACTATATTTTACTGAGTCATATTGAAAAATTTATCATTCAATAAAACAGTCATTACAAAAACCCTTTAAAAGAAAATAGAAATAAAGTTTATGAATATACTGGAAGTAAATACATGTAAATAATATAATTATGGAACTTGCTATGTCATCAATAAAATCCACTTGTCACTAAAAAAATAAAATAATATAAATTGCTGATTGCCATACCTCATATGTTGTTAGAAGGACACTGAATGAAAGAGATGCATTTTTATATCCCACATTCTGCAAAGAATCAAAAAATGATTAAACTATTAAAGCCCCCTATCTCATAAATACAATGCTTGTTCCCTTATTAAATAAACAGATTATTTTTATTATAAAACTTGTAATCCAAATATACTATTATGTAGTTGCAAACATATATTTTTCTCTGAACAAACAAACAAAAATCAGCCGATCTACCTGAGACTTAACAAGCTTCCTTATGCAGTCTTTCAGTTCCTCCCTCTCATCTTTATCACCAGTGAAGTTTAGTACATTCTGTTTTCTTGAAAATCTTGAAATACAAAAGTCCTCATAAACATCATTTAACACAAGGCCACTGTTGCTCAACCCCCTGTTGTTTTATGCAGTTTATACAGTACTCTATTGGCAACCCAGTGATAGAGGCTACATCTCCCATGGGTAAAAATCCCTTTTGTGTGTTCCGTCTTGCTCCAACAGTGAACCACTCAATTCCATTGTTTATAAGCCAATTACACACTAATAGGCAACTTGCAGAGGTATCCTTTTTTGGTTTTACTTCCAGGATGCGACTAAGGGACCACAAGTTTTCTACTACAAGTACAATATCTCCAGATTCAAGGTAACACCTTCATCTTTGTAGTGATTGCCTTCTCACTTATAGCAATTAAATTCCCAGATACTGACTTTTTAAAACAAATTCCAACCAAATGGAATAAAACTAAGCAAAAGCTCACAAGTACACATTGCGGACCTATTTTCTTATTAGAAAATGCCATGTTGCTACAGGATTTTAGAGAAGGGGCTTCAAGATACTGACCACAGAAGGCAGTCTGCTGTAGGGGGGTCCAGGGACATCCTCCCCATAATTTTTTTAAAAATTGAGATCCTTGAAAATGAGATCTCCAGCATTCTGAGGCCAAGTCAGCATAATAATTATCTCTTTTGTTTTTAATTTTGGGGATTTGACCGAACCCCCCCCCCTCCCCCCTTCCTGTGTTAATTCTATCCCAGCAGGAGTATTTGAGAAATGGTTAAAATAATTGTGCATCCCCAAAACAGACTCATGCAATCTTAAGACAGTTTATTTTTATTACCTTGAAAATTCATTTTGCCAGTTTTGTAAAACTGACAATGGACAGACTATAAGAAAAGGACCTTGGCAGTTCTTCAATCCTTGAAAATTAGCCAAGAGAGCAATTGTCTGCAAAGTAAAATAAAATTTCACCTAGTCTGATAAATACAATATCTCAATTTCAAGTTTTGTAATTTGATCATATTAATTTTAACGTTTTATGGGATCAGGGACAATAAAAACTTTTTAGCCTTTAGATTAGTAAGCTTTCAACTTTCAATACTTATTAAAATCCCCAAATCTTAGATCTGGCATCCCCAAGATCCATGCAAAACTGCGAAAAAGTCTCTTATTTTGTTTATTAAATAATTTCTTTTAATTAACTATAAATTTGAATATTTAAACCAAGTTTGTAAACTTAATAAGGCTGAAATAGAGTTGTTACCATGTACATAAACTGACTAACAAAACAATACATGTGTAACTGACATGGGTGATGTGTCAGTATCACTCAAAAAGATGTTCCATTTATGGTACCCCTCCCAACCCTCCTCACTCCTTGTACCTCTACCTCACCCCTACCCATGTGTATACTGGCAAAATAGTCATTTATGTAACAGTAAGACTCCTACATGCACAGCCATAATCATTTCAAAAAATTCAGCCAACTTATATTTTCTCGTCAGCTTCTTGGAAGAAAGATTGCTTTCAAGTCTTATTAAAAAAAAAAAAAAAAACCTGCTCCAGAAAGGGACCATAAACGGAACTCGCCCAGATAAGCTGTTTGTTTTGACAAAACGCTGCAAACAGCAGAAACAGCTGAAACAGCTGAAACAGCTGAAACAGGTTGTTGAAAAGCCTCATGTTTCAACTTTTCAAGATGCTATTCTGGTTACAATACTACGTATGATACAAACAGTTACCAAAGATTTGCATGGCACAGCATTTAATTTTCAAACCTGTATAGTTTTTCCAAGACCCATTTCATCTCCGAGAATACAACCATGCTCGCATTCAAAACAACGCTTCATCCACTTCACTCCGTCCAGCTGGTATCCGCGTAAATGAATTCCTTGCAGATCATCGTCCTCCAAGTTTTTCTGAGACAGTCTTTCTGGAACATAAGCTTCAGTTATACTGTGAAGTTCTTTTAATTTTCTTTTTATCCGGTTCATGAAGATTGTCTTAGGGAGGAAGAAGGCAAAAACTGCCAGGCATTCAAACCCAAACCGCGAAAAACCTGGGTGGAGTGGCGGGCGATCCCATCATCCCATGCGATCAGAGTAGCAGGAAGAAGCCAAGCGAAGCAGATGTCACAAAGTGGGCGCCACTAAATTGGGCGCTGAGAAGGTTTTAACTGTTTTCGCACGCCACGAATTACAAGCTTCACCCTTGATTTATGGATAATCTAATGATAACGAAAATCTCGACGAGAAACTGATCCTTTGTATCTCCGAGGACCAGAAGACTTTGAAGACCGCTACATCTCTTAAGAAATTTTTGCCAAAGCTGTCAGAATTGTTTATTTATGCGCCTTGGTTGTAAATGGATCTGCTTTCCTGATCTCAATTTTACATCCTTGTTGACGGTGGGGGAACATCCTGACGTTGTGACGTAGTTTACCCATCTGCTGAAGCAGTAACAGAAAATCGTAGCGAAAAATCGTAGCGAACTGAAGGTACTAAAACAGTCAGAGATTCCATTCTTTGCCTGTTATTGTTTTGAGACAAGGCTTCTTTACGGTGGCTTGAAAATCTAAGGAGAGATTGACATAAAAACTTCGATCGAAGTAGAAAAATCATGGCGGCATATTGGCGAGTTCTAGCGTTCATCATTTTGGTGTCCTTTAACGCTCGCGGAGCACAGCAAGACAAAGTTGTCGACTTTTCACATCACGACTACGGTGAGATGACTGATATTCTGAACCAGTTCGCGGAAAAGTACCCAACCATAACACGGCTGTATTCTCTAGGTGAATCAGTCGAGAAGAGAAATTTGTGGGTATTGGAAATCTCGGACAATCCAGGAAGCCATGAGCCAGGGGAACCAGAGTTCAAGTACATAGGCAACATGCATGGCAATGAAGTGGTGAGTCGAGAAATACTTCTACACTTTATTGAGAAGTTGCTGGAGAATTACAACAAGGATGATGAAATAACACGGCTTGTTGATTCAACAAGGATCCACATTATGCCATCCATGAACCCTGATGGCTACGAGATAGCCAAAAACAGCAAACGTGATGAAAAGGACAGGTGCACTGGTCTGCATGGAAGGGCAAATGCTGATGGCGTTGATTTGAATCGGTGAGTACTAAAACTACTTTGTATAAATATTGAAAAAGCCATAGCCCTACTTCAAAGCATATTTTGAAATAAGAATATACTTTTAGATGTTGGGGAGAATTATTTTTTTTCTCTAGCTTTCACGGTTTTTAAATAGCCATACATGTAAGTTATTTTTTAAGTCTATAGTTTCATAAATTCTTAACTTGGTTTTTGCCAAATCGTTTACAAACAATGTAAGTCGTTTAAAACCAAAACGTTCATATAATTTATGTAAATTATTGCGTGAAAATGAATATTCAGCAATAAGACAGGTTGTCACAGGCCATAAAAGGCCTTCAAATTATCTCTCACTGTACTTCTCGACGTATTCTATGTCCACATTGTTTACGAGACGTTTGATGTTTTACACATATTTAACTTAAATGTGCTTTCTGTTGGATGACAAGGGTGAAAGAATTATGAAATTGTTCATTGTAGATTTATGCATACTTGGGAAGTTATAACCTCTATCAAGTGATCATAGCAACTTACATGGATTGAGCTTTACTGAAGAAAGAGAAAAAATGTGCTAGTTCCTATCAAGTCATAGACACATGAGTGAAAGTTTGGGTGAACAAGAAATGCTGTGGGAACACGAGCCGACAGGCGAGTGTGCAAACTTCCACAAGTCTTTCTATAACTCAATAAAAAACATGGAGAACATGTTTTCTATTTCTTTTAGAAAATTCTGCAATGAAAACAAGCTTATGTACTTTGCTCATCAAATGTAAATTCTCTGTGCTCATGCCATCATTACATCAACAGCTTGTGCTAGTTCTGTGTTTCTATCAAATTTTAGTATAAATCTACTAGCGTTCTATCACAAATGCCGTTCTTTGATTGGCTACGCTAATCACTAATCTATTCTGTGATAAGTAGTGAGTAGCATAGCAGTGTACCCTTCTTAACAAAATGACGGCCCCTTCTTGGTATTTTTGAAGTGTCTGTGAAGAGGATTTAGGTAAAGTTTTGAACGACTAGTAGATTTATACTAAAACAATTAGATTATTCACTCTCGATTTCTATACATGATAGTTGACTCTGGCTGCGCCCTCATCCACTATCACGCTATAGAAATCTTGAGCTCATAATCTAATTGTTTAATTTGGCAGAATCCTTTTCTCTGTCAGAATGGTAAAATGGTAAAGTCTTTATATGAGCCAAGTGGCCCATCAAGCCGGAGCTTATCCCGGTTTCTGTAACATGGAGCAACTAGTTCAATTTCTACTCCCCCTCTAGATGGGAAGCTGGTCCATCACCAGGTTACCCCCAGCATTAAATTTGCGGGTACCCATATATATACCTGGGTGAAGAGAGGCGCTGTAAGAGTAAAGTGTCTTGCCCAAGAATACGACACAATGTCCCCAACCAGGGCTCAAACCCAGACTGCTTGATCCAGAGACAAGTACACTAACCATGAGGCGACTGCACCTCCAAGTTCAGGTTAATGGTATTGGTAATTAAATTGATATATACAACTGTATGCTTGACTCATGGACTCAGTACTCATGTCCATTTTCTCGCCAGGAATTTTCCAGACCAATTTTCTCCTGACAAAATTGCAGATGAAAGCAAGCTAGCAAAAGAAACCCAACTTGTCAAGGAGTGGATTGATAAGAATCCCTTTGTTCTGTCAGCCAACATTCATGGCGGCTCATTAGTGGCTAATTACCCCTATGATGATAGATCAGACAAACGTAGCGAGTACAGTGCCTCTCCAGATGATGATGTTTTCCGCAACTTGGCATTCACATATTCTTCAAACCATCGCAAAATGCTTTCAACGGCTTGTGAAGGAGATCATTTCAAAGATGGTATATAGTTTGTTACTGATTTCTCACTGCTATTCAGTGGTACAAAATAATTCATTCCAATTTTTATGTCTGGCAGGTGCAAGAATCTTTTTATTCCTGACCTGTTTCTCTTGTACCACTCTCTTTGTATGAGTTTCTGTTTGTGTGTGTGTGCCACGTTTTCATTGTGCATGAGTTTTAGGGGGAATTCACAACAATTACCACACTTTTCAAAACTGCAAGATGCTCTGAACAGCTGTAAGTGTTTTGCACGTAGTACATGCAGCTAAAATAAGCTATAGATCGTTTTCACATGATGCCATCAATTTCCAAAATCCAAAACTAAAGAGCCATGAATTTTTTTATCTTATAAGGCACAAGGGGATCTAAACTTATATCTGTTTACAACTTTTCAGCTCAAAAGCATGCTTGGTTTGGAAACCAATGCCGTTTGAAGTTCAGAGTTATGGCTGTGCGTGACATACTGCTCTGATCGTATTTGTGGAAAAATATACACTTACATGTATCTAGTGAATTTTAGTCTTTTAGGAGTTAAAGTGTTAGGAAAAGTGCTTGTGTAAATGTTTGTTGGTTCAGTTCAGATAATCAGCCACCTAGGTAGCCAAAGCAAGATCCAGATGTTTGCACAGAGCTCCACCAACATGGCGGCTCCATACTGGGCTCTGTCAATTTGCGCAAAACATTTCGACAAACATCTGAAGTTTGGGGATATGCAGAGTGTCTATTTTACCTGTCTCCTATAATATTAAAATTTCTTGACTTTGTCCACTGAATAGTTTTCAATTTACGTTTTCGTTGCATGACAGTGAAAACCATCTATTGTCTTCTAGAACACAAATACAAGAAAAGATGCTCTGAACAGCTGCTAGTGTCTTATACTGCCAACTCTGGTCACACGTCACACGCCTTCAGGGCAAAACTTCAGTCATACACCATTTCATACCTATGAACCAATTTCTCATGCTTTATTCATCTACATCTACATTTAATTTAGTCATAAAACAATCACAAGATATCACACCAACTTTTCTGAAAAATAGGTTACGTATAATACTAAAATTGCAGTCAGGGATGGACATGAGTAGTATGCATTTGAAGTTGTGTTTGACACTGACTTTACTAAAACGTGAAAACAACGTTTGGTCGAAACATCTTTGTGCATGTATAAGTAGCCATGAACGTCGTTTTATCGTTTTAGAGTCAGTGTCAGACACACCTTGAAGGTTACATATCATTAAAATGTACCTGTAGAGGCCTTTGTATTAAGTGACTCCAAAGAACTACTGTTCATACATTACACTATATAAACCTGTCAAAAAAATGTTTAGCTGAGAGGAAACACCCTCTGCTAATTGGGGACACTTAATACATTTAAAAGCGTACTAACTTTATTGTCTAATAATACTGTGAGTACTTTCGACTATGTCTTCAGGGAGGCCATTCCAAGATCTAAAAGTTCTAGAAAAAAAAGAAAAATTCAAAACTACAGGGTCATATTACAGTCTTAAGACTGTCAAATTTGAAACAGTGCAGAAAGGAAAAATAAAACATTCATGTCAGAGGCAATTCTTCCCCAAAATTCTCTGATTTTAGAGAGGAAAAGCACTGATCACAAGGTTGCAGTCTGGGACACAAAGGGAAGTTTGGCTGCATTATCACCAACATGTAAAATATTTAACAGAGACAGTAAATCAGAGTCAAGGTTTTAATTGAAGTATTTATAAAGTCAGGTTTCCAAATAAGTTTTTAAGGTAGGGTGTCAAGAAGGAATTCCAACAAGTCAATTCCCACTGCACCCTCCAAATCATTAGAAATTTCTTATTAATATTCAAGTCATGTAGCTGATCTTGTCAGGTTTTGGACCTGAGACTACTCATCTGGAACACTGAAAGTTATTTGTGTGTCCTTGGAAAGTCTTTGGGATGAACCAGAGCCGGGATGAACTGCAGTTGAACCCCACTATTTCGAGTTCTCAGGAGAAATGAAAAATAGTTTGAATTAGCGGGAGTTTGAAATAGCCAATAGTAAATGACTAAAGGGCTGATCCTAGGGAAATGGTTTTGAGTTTGAAACGGGGAATTCAAAATAACTAAGTTTGAATCAGTGGTGTCCAACTGTATGTACTTGTAGAACAGATGTAGGAATTGATGAAGTTAAACATAAAACTATTATCTTGCTTGGGTAGGTATCACTAATGGTGCAGCATGGTACTCCGTCGCTGGTGGAATGCAGGACTACAACTATGTCAATACCAACTGCTTTGAATTAACTCTTGAGGTCAGCTGCTGTAAGTTCCCCGATGAAAGTACACTTCCGGAATTTTGGAAAGATAATGAGAAATCTTTGCTTGAATTTCTGAAGCTTGTTCATACTGGCATTACTGGCTTTGTAAAAGACCAGCATGGAGAAGGTTAGGCAAATAAGTAATTACATTTGAACCCCATTAATTTTCTCACCAGTAGGCCACACAAACCTTGCCAGGGTTAGTTTGTTGTGTTTCAGGGCATGTAACATTACCTTGACATTAGCCCCCAGAGTATTAAGGTTACTCCAAACCTTTGCAGGTGTCCTCCAGGAAAAAATTTGTATGCGCGCTGTTTTCAAGGAAACCCCTATAAACTACATTTATATTTAACAACATCATGAGCTTGAGATTTCTATGAGGTGATAGTTGATATTTTACATGAGTGTCCAACAATAATGGTCAAAACAGAAGGAAAGTGATGTGCAACAAAGCAAAAAGAAAGCGAGGAGTAATTGCTGAGGCGCGATTACAAGCAGGCACTCTTGACAGACATGAAATTTAAAATTGAAAGTATTTGATATAAGATCTCTGGATTTAGCCATTTGCCACAAAAAGGTTGCCGAGGAGTCCATGCCTCTTGGGGATTATGACACCTTGACGGTTTATTAACGGTTTATTAACTTTTTATTATTATAACCTGCATGCTTTTTGATATTTTATTTTCATTTTTTTTGAAAATGTTACCTTAAACAATGAATTTTAATTTTGGTGTTCTTGTGGCATTCCATCTATGGAGAGTGTTAAACATTACTCCTCGTCAGTGAAAACTGTCGAAACTGGAATTGATCAGGTTTTAACATGGAGTTTAAATTGTTAATAAGCACTCAATGACTAGGCCCAAGGGAAACAGTGAGTTTTGTTTCCCCTTCAGGGAAGACTGAGGGGTGAATTGTTTTGTTATACCTATCAACTCAAAAAAGCACAAACTATGAAAAAAGACAAATTTGCTGCAGTTTCAACATATCAGACCTGATCATGTGCAAGTCAAACACTCAAGTTGTTGTTTCCCCAGCGAGTTAGTGAGTTTTGTTCACCCTAGGGAGTTAATGAGTCTTGACCCATGATATATTACACATTTTCCTGCAATCGCAAAGCGTATTGGTGTTGGGAGATATATGTATAAGAATGATCATTGTTTTGCAGGAATTGAAGGAGCTAAGATAAAGGTTGACAACCGAAATCATCCTGTGACAAGTGCCAGGGATGGAGACTATTGGCGTTTGCTCCTACCCGGTTCATACGAAGTCGAAGTTTCAAAGAAAGGCTATTTCCCTGTAAAGAGGACCATCGAAGTGACCCGAGGACCAGCAACAAGACAAGAATTCACCCTTGCACAAAAGGGCCAGAGTCATGATGAAGCTGGTACTGAGTTACAAGAAGTTAAAACAGATGACGACAAAAGGCCGGTCCCAGTTTCACTGGTCATTGGTCTGACGATTGTTTGCCTTGTTTCACTGATGTTGGCACTGGCTCTCGCCATCATGCTTGCCAAGAAATATAGAGGCAGTGAAAGTTCGCAAGGAGAATATTCTCAAGTGCATACTGATCCATAAAGAACCGTAAAACACAAAAGCCAGGAATTCAAAGGTACTAACTATATCATTCACTCTACTTTCACCTTTCCTTTACGTACTTAGTCCTCTTTATCCTGGGTGGGAAATAAGGCATCAATGATCTGCTTTTAATGGGACTGGTCCTTCACAGCATGTAGTCCCTCACCCCATGTCAAGCCCATCCCTTTAAAGAAGCTACGTCATGTTTTTCGCATCTTGAAAAGTTAAGCCAACTTGTAAATTTTTCAAATTTGTCTTTTGTAATCCATGACAATCCTTTCAATCCTTAACCATCCTGGTACCTTTATGCTTTATTATTATCTTTATTATTATCTAAACTACTATTGCCAGGTTTTCCTCAATTAAAAAGATATTTTGTACATGGTCAGAATGCCGTGACTGAGCTCCTTTAAGCTCAGCCAACACAGTTCACCTTTCTTTTAGATACATTGTACGTATCTCTCAAACAATACAAGCCACGACTGGTGAATTGTATTGGCTACACTCTACAGTGTATTGACTTGAAAAAACAATGATAAACATCTGGTAACCTCACTTTCTCAGTTCATATATTGTAAAATGTGAATCCCCATGTGAATTTCCCATAGATTTATGGACCATGCATGTCACTCTTGGGTCATAAAATAATTAACTGGCATAAAATAATTGACATTTTTCTTTTTTTTAGCACCTTTGAATTTCTGGCTGCTTATTTATTAACCAAGAAAATAGTTTGAAATGGCAAATGTCTCTCAGAGACATCCCAAGCTTGAAAATAACAGGGCATTAATTTTGTGGAATTAATTTCCACACTTGACTGTTTACTTGATAATGGCATAAAAACACAGAAGTTGACTTTCTTTCAGTGTAAGTTGACTTGAATCTTGGTATTTCACCAGATTTGTCAAAATATTTCTTCTAACTTGTGTTGTGCCTAGCTAAATATACTAGTGAGTGTTTTTAACACCAAGCAGCTGTTAAATTTTTATCTCAGGGTAAGGGAAGTGCTGGCTTTACAGAGGGAGTCACTATNCCCCAGCATTAAATTTGCGGGTACCCATATATATACCTGGGTGAAGAGAGGCGCTGTAAGAGTAAAGTGTCTTGCCCAAGAATACGACACAATGTCCCCAACCAGGGCTCAAACCCAGACTGCTTGATCCAGAGACAAGTACACTAACCATGAGGCGACTGCACCTCCAAGTTCAGGTTAATGGTATTGGTAATTAAATTGATATATACAACTGTATGCTTGACTCATGGACTCAGTACTCATGTCCATTTTCTCGCCAGGAATTTTCCAGACCAATTTTCTCCTGACAAAATTGCAGATGAAAGCAAGCTAGCAAAAGAAACCCAACTTGTCAAGGAGTGGATTGATAAGAATCCCTTTGTTCTGTCAGCCAACATTCATGGCGGCTCATTAGTGGCTAATTACCCCTATGATGATAGATCAGACAAACGTAGCGAGTACAGTGCCTCTCCAGATGATGATGTTTTCCGCAACTTGGCATTCACATATTCTTCAAACCATCGCAAAATGCTTTCAACGGCTTGTGAAGGAGATCATTTCAAAGATGGTATATAGTTTGTTACTGATTTCTCACTGCTATTCAGTGGTACAAAATAATTCATTCCAATTTTTATGTCTGGCAGGTGCAAGAATCTTTTTATTCCTGACCTGTTTCTCTTGTACCACTCTCTTTGTATGAGTTTCTGTTTGTGTGTGTGTGCCACGTTTTCATTGTGCATGAGTTTTAGGGGGAATTCACAACAATTACCACACTTTTCAAAACTGCAAGATGCTCTGAACAGCTGTAAGTGTTTTGCACGTAGTACATGCAGCTAAAATAAGCTATAGATCGTTTTCACATGATGCCATCAATTTCCAAAATCCAAAACTAAAGAGCCATGAATTTTTTTATCTTATAAGGCACAAGGGGATCTAAACTTATATCTGTTTACAACTTTTCAGCTCAAAAGCATGCTTGGTTTGGAAACCAATGCCGTTTGAAGTTCAGAGTTATGGCTGTGCGTGACATACTGCTCTGATCGTATTTGTGGAAAAATATACACTTACATGTATCTAGTGAATTTTAGTCTTTTAGGAGTTAAAGTGTTAGGAAAAGTGCTTGTGTAAATGTTTGTTGGTTCAGTTCAGATAATCAGCCACCTAGGTAGCCAAAGCAAGATCCAGATGTTTGCACAGAGCTCCACCAACATGGCGGCTCCATACTGGGCTCTGTCAATTTGCGCAAAACATTTCGACAAACATCTGAAGTTTGGGGATATGCAGAGTGTCTATTTTACCTGTCTCCTATAATATTAAAATTTCTTGACTTTGTCCACTGAATAGTTTTCAATTTACGTTTTCGTTGCATGACAGTGAAAACCATCTATTGTCTTCTAGAACACAAATACAAGAAAAGATGCTCTGAACAGCTGCTAGTGTCTTATACTGCCAACTCTGGTCACACGTCACACGCCTTCAGGGCAAAACTTCAGTCATACACCATTTCATACCTATGAACCAATTTCTCATGCTTTATTCATCTACATCTACATTTAATTTAGTCATAAAACAATCACAAGATATCACACCAACTTTTCTGAAAAATAGGTTACGTATAATACTAAAATTGCAGTCAGGGATGGACATGAGTAGTATGCATTTGAAGTTGTGTTTGACACTGACTTTACTAAAACGTGAAAACAACGTTTGGTCGAAACATCTTTGTGCATGTATAAGTAGCCATGAACGTCGTTTTATCGTTTTAGAGTCAGTGTCAGACACACCTTGAAGGTTACATATCATTAAAATGTACCTGTAGAGGCCTTTGTATTAAGTGACTCCAAAGAACTACTGTTCATACATTACACTATATAAACCTGTCAAAAAAATGTTTAGCTGAGAGGAAACACCCTCTGCTAATTGGGGACACTTAATACATTTAAAAGCGTACTAACTTTATTGTCTAATAATACTGTGAGTACTTTCGACTATGTCTTCAGGGAGGCCATTCCAAGATCTAAAAGTTCTAGAAAAAAAAGAAAAATTCAAAACTACAGGGTCATATTACAGTCTTAAGACTGTCAAATTTGAAACAGTGCAGAAAGGAAAAATAAAACATTCATGTCAGAGGCAATTCTTCCCCAAAATTCTCTGATTTTAGAGAGGAAAAGCACTGATCACAAGGTTGCAGTCTGGGACACAAAGGGAAGTTTGGCTGCATTATCACCAACATGTAAAATATTTAACAGAGACAGTAAATCAGAGTCAAGGTTTTAATTGAAGTATTTATAAAGTCAGGTTTCCAAATAAGTTTTTAAGGTAGGGTGTCAAGAAGGAATTCCAACAATTCAATTCCCACTGCACCCTCCAAATCATTAGAAATTTCTTATTAATTTTCAAGTCATGTAGCTGATCTTGTCAGGTTTTGGACCTGAGACTACTCATCTGGAACACTGAAAGTTATTTGTGTGTCCTTGGAAAGTCTTTGGGATGAACTGCAGTTGAACCCCACTATTTCGAGTTCTCAGGAGAAATGAAAAATAGTTTGAATTAGCGGGAGTTTGAAATAGCCAATAGTAAATGACTAAAGGGCTGATCCTAGGGAAATGGTTTTGAGTTTGAAACGGGGAATTCAAAATAACTAAGTTTGAATCAGTGGTGTCCAACTGTATGTACTTGTAGAACAGATGTAGGAATTGATGAAGTTAAACATAAAACTATTATCTTGCTTGGGTAGGTATCACTAATGGTGCAGCATGGTACTCCGTCGCTGGTGGAATGCAGGACTACAACTATGTCAATACCAACTGCTTTGAATTAACTCTTGAGGTCAGCTGCTGTAAGTTCCCCGATGAAAGTACACTTCCGGAATTTTGGAAAGATAATGAGAAATCTTTGCTTGAATTTCTGAAGCTTGTTCATACTGGCATTACTGGCTTTGTAAAAGACCAGCATGGAGAAGGTTAGGCAAATAAGTAATTACATTTGAACCCCATTAATTTTCTCACCAGTAGGCCACACAAACCTTGCCAGGGTTAGTTTGTTGTGTTTCAGGGCATGTAACATTACCTTGACATTAGCCCCCAGAGTATTAAGGTTACTCCAAACCTTTGCAGGTGTCCTCCAGGAAAAAATTTGTATGCGCGCTGTTTTCAAGGAAACCCCTATAAACTACATTTATATTTAACAACATCATGAGCTTGAGATTTCTATGAGGTGATAGTTGATATTTTACATGAGTGTCCAACAATAATGGTCAAAACAGAAGGAAAGTGATGTGCAACAAAGCAAAAAGAAAGCGAGGAGTAATTGCTGAGGCGCGATTACAAGCAGGCACTCTTGACAGACATGAAATTTAAAATTGAAAGTATTTGATATAAGATCTCTGGATTTAGCCATTTGCCACAAAAAGGTTGCCGAGGAGTCCATGCCTCTTGGGGATTATGACACCTTGACGGTTTATTAACGGTTTATTAACTTTTTATTATTATAACCTGCATGCTTTTTGATATTTTATTTTCATTTTTTTTGAAAATGTTACCTTAAACAATGAATTTTAATTTTGGTGTTCTTGTGGCATTCCATCTATGGAGAGTGTTAAACATTACTCCTCGTCAGTGAAAACTGTCGAAACTGGAATTGATCAGGTTTTAACATGGAGTTTAAATTGTTAATAAGCACTCAATGACTAGGCCCAAGGGAAACAGTGAGTTTTGTTTCCCCTTCAGGGAAGACTGAGGGGTGAATTGTTTTGTTATACCTATCAACTCAAAAAAGCACAAACTATGAAAAAAAGACTAATTTGCTGCAGTTTCAACATATCAGACCTGATCATGTGCAAGTCAAACACTCAAGTTGTTGTTTCCCCAGCGAGTTAGTGAGTTTTGTTCACCCTAGGGAGTTAATGAGTCTTGACCCATGATATATTACACATTTTCCTGCAATCGCAAAGCGTATTGGTGTTGGGAGATATATGTATAAGAATGATCATTGTTTTGCAGGAATTGAAGGAGCTAAGATAAAGGTTGACAACCGAAATCATCCTGTGACAAGTGCCAGGGATGGAGACTATTGGCGTTTGCTCCTACCCGGTTCATACGAAGTCGAAGTTTCAAAGAAAGGCTATTTCCCTGTAAAGAGGACCATCGAAGTGACCCGAGGACCAGCAACAAGACAAGAATTCACCCTTGCACAAAAGGGCCAGAGTCATGATGAAGCTGGTACTGAGTTACAAGAAGTTAAAACAGATGACGACAAAAGGCCGGTCCCAGTTTCACTGGTCATTGGTCTGACGATTGTTTGCCTTGTTTCACTGATGTTGGCACTGGCTCTCGCCATCATGCTTGCCAAGAAATATAGAGGCAGTGAAAGTTCGCAAGGAGAATATTCTAAAGTGCATACTGATCCATAAAGAACCGTAAAACACAAAAGCCAGGAATTCAAAGGTACTAACTATATCATTCACTCTACTTTCACCTTTCCTTTACGTACTTAGTCCTCTTTATCCTGGGTGGGAAATAAGGCATCAATGATCTGCTTTTAATGGGACTGGTCCTTCACAGCATGTAGTCCCTCACCCCATGTCAAGCCCATCCCTTTAAAGAAGCTACGTCATGTTTTTCGCATCTTGAAAAGTTAAGCCAACTTGTAAATTTTTCAAATTTGTCTTTTGTAATCCATGACAATCCTTTCAATCCTTAACCATCCTGGTACCTTTATGCTTTATTATTATCTTTATTATTATCTAAACTACTATTGCCAGGTTTTCCTCAATTAAAAAGATATTTTGTACATGGTCAGAATGCCGTGACTGAGCTCCTTTAAGCTCAGCCAACACAGTTCACCTTTCTTTTAGATACATTGTACGTATCTCTCAAACAATACAAGCCACGACTGGTGAATTGTATTGGCTACACTCTACAGTGTATTGACTTGAAAAAACAATGATAAACATCTGGTAACCTCACTTTCTCAGTTCATATATTGTAAAATGTGAATCCCCATGTGAATTTCCCATAGATTTATGGACCATGCATGTCACTCTTGGGTCATAAAATAATTAACTGGCATAAAATAATTGACATTTTTCTTTTTTTTAGCACCTTTGAATTTCTGGCTGCTTATTTATTAACCAAGAAAATAGTTTGAAATGGCAAATGTCTCTCAGAGACATCCCAAGCTTGAAAATAACAGGGCATTAATTTTGTGGAATTAATTTCCACACTTGACTGTTTACTTGATAATGGCATAAAAACACAGAAGTTGACTTTCTTTCAGTGTAAGTTGACTTGAATCTTGGTATTTCACCAGATTTGTCAAAATATTTCTTCTAACTTGTGTTGTGCCTAGCTAAATATACTAGTGAGTGTTTTTAACACCAAGCAGCTGTTAAATTTTTATCTCAGGGTAAGGGAAGTGCTGGCTTTACAGAGGGAGTCACTATAGGATATTTCTTTTTCACACTCAAACTATTTTCCTTGTTAATAAACAGTAAATACATGTAGGTATAAGGTCAGGATGAATAAAAAAATTAAGCTCTTCGATTTTAAGTTTTCAAACAGAATAATGACATTTTCATCAGTATCCATCGTTATTCATTAGTGGTAGGAGAGTGTGTACTAGTCACAGCTTCGTGCATGTTGCAAACTCACACCTGTGTGGTCAGTTTTGAATGTGAAGACCAGAAAATATCCATACTCCCCCATGGGAGGGACTGGAATTTCGTAGCAGTGGGAATTCCATAAGACCAACAAATTAAAACAAATGTATGAAGCTTGATTGGAATTTCCAGAGGGGTGAAGAGGGGTCTTCGAAAAAAATCCCTTCCATGGGGGAGGTATGGATATTTTCTGGAACTACACAATGGAACTTTGTGCACCTCCAGAGACACAGACAGATCTTTGTGCAGTTGTGTTCATAGTGGCGGATCCGGGATTTTTCTTAGGAGGGGATGCACCACTAAGGAATGGCGTAACTGACTGTCCAATACCAGTTATATTAGAAACCCGTATGTTTATCTCAGGAGAGGTGCACACCCCCTACACCCTCCCCCTAGATCTGCCCCTGCATTATCACTGTGGAAATATCTGGGTCTCAAACATAATAATAATAATGATAATGAACTGAAATAAGATAAAATAACAATTAAAACATCTTTTGTTATGGGGATGATTTTACTATTCAAAGGTAGAAAGCTGGTGAAGTTTGCTGATTTTATTTGAAATTATAGAACTCCCATTTTGGCCTAAAAGGCAATGATAATTTGTAAAATATCATTTTAACGGTGCTTCAGTACCATTATTTATTTTTGTTATCACCAAGAGATGCGTTTTGTGGTTACTAGACATGGTTAAGGCTATGTTTATTTTATTGCTTATTTTATTATAGTGCATTTATAGTCATCTGTTGCTGTGTTTACGTTAAACGTTGCAATATTTGCCGTCTCTACATGTACAAGGGAGAGATAACTCTCAGACCAAGGGTTTAAGTATGATTTTTGCAGACCTTGATCACTCTATGTCACAACAATGTCGGCCATGCATGTAAAACCTGTGCACACACTGGTCTATGACTGCAAGACAAGAGAGTTCTCAGAACAAAGGTGCTTGTACAGTTGGACTCTGCTAATTGGAACTCTGTTATTTCAAGTTTCAAATTTCAAACTCAAAATTATTTCCCTTGGATTTACCCTTCAGTCAGTTACTATCGGGTATTTCAACACTCCTGCTCTTTGAACTATTCCTTATTTTCCTTGGGTGTTCAAAATAGTGGAGTTCAACTGTACATGTATACTTAACAAGAGTGCATGAGATTTTTTATTATTACTACAATGAAGACACTGGTTATGTAGTATATTCTCTTGCTTGCATCTATTTGTCGTTGCCCTTCAACTTTGGATAGACTTTAACTGAATTTGTTACTTGCATGATTGGGTTTTTTTTGTTTGTTTGTTTTTTGTTTTTGTTTTTGTTTTGTTTTGTTTTTTTGTTTTTTTTTTTGCTTTTTTGCTTTTTTGGCTAAAGAGGAATGAAAAAAATCTCTCCCTTGTACAATCTGACTTTGGTAGTCTAGTAATTGTTGGTTAATGGGGAAAACTATAGTGGAGATGGGGATAGAGAACCTAAATAAAATATACACAGAGTGAAATGTTGCTTTATTAATTGTTTACAAGTTACTTGTTGGGTGTGGCGACATTCTGACAGAAAACCCACTACGATTACCTCCAACTGTTCTTCGAAGCTAAAAACCTTTGTTTTGATCGCAAAGTTTCTTCCCTTTTCCTGGAAATATTGAAAAATGTTTCAATTCAAGGTGGGGAAGCCATGCTTCGATCATCTCCAAGCCAGGGTTGGCAGGTTAAGAGGAGGAGGGATATTATTATTATCATTATCATCATCATTATTATTATTTG